GGAGAAAGAGTTGAAAGGGCTACAAACAAGAGCACCCACCGAATGGACTTACTTGGTCCATTATAAAAAATCACGAAATCACTATAAACAACAGAAACGCCTAAAAAGTTATTTACGATAGTTATTTTTTGTGGTCATGGTTTCTGTATTTCACGCCAATCGGAATCTGCAAAAGTACTTTATTAAAAATGTATTTGGCTACCTAACTTTTTTCAAAAAAACCAAAAGCACATTATGTGTTATAATATTGCCTTGCCAAAAGGACAAAGAAAACTTGTGCTTTAAGCACTTATTTTTCCAAAATACGAGACTATTTCATTCGGACTACATAAACTTAAAAGGAACTCTTTTGTCAACACTCAGCCTCTTACTGTTGTTAAAAAATATGCCTAACTAAGTAAAACCTTTTATTCTCATTTAATGAATTTAACTATGTCTAACTATTTGTTTATATGATCCCATTCAGCTTGACCCATCTGAACGAGGGTCGCTCGTCGAGGAGCTTGTCGATAGTTTTCAGGCCTGCGCGCGCCTGCAATCCTGTCCAGATAGAGTGCGCACGTGCGCGCCACGATTTTACAATGCCATTGGTCAAGTGAGACGAATGCTTTTGGCAGGAAAACTCAAAACTTGCAAGCGTACTGCCAAGCAATTTCGCTAGTTTTTTTTCGACTGGCTTAAAGTGCAGCCTTTCTCAATTCCATTTTAGTCATTTCATAAGCGAATTTACTTGCATCATCGATGGCTTAGTGACGGTATTCGGGAATAAAATGACTACGGTTAAAAGCAGTCATCCTATTTAAATCTGACACATAAGTAGAAGCCCCTAGTAAAAACAAAAAGGCTATTGTGGTCTGCACATACAATTAGTGTCATGTGAAAGCCCTACTCCATTAATTCGAAGGATTCCACCATACAACTTTTTGCACAAAATCCCAAGTATGAACCACTAAGACGTGCTGCAGATAAAGTGACGTCAAAAAGAATTAAAGGAAGTGTCAAAAATACTCACAAAAATTGCTAGAATAATAATCTAGGTAAACGGCTCAGGAGAGATTCAGCTACATTTATTCGTCGATTACATTTAGAGATCTGTGAGTATTTTGCCTTGAAATGACAGACAATTTTGGGGGGAAATTTTTATGGAAATTCCCGGTTTCGATCAATGCATAATTTTTCATTGAATCCAGGGCGAATTAAATTTATGACTATCAATTGTTGGAGCACATTTGAATCCCCGAGCTTACATTTTTCTGGAAGAGGTTGAATGCACGTCGGAGCCGGTTTCGTTGCATCCCTGATGCCTTTCCAGGGTTTCAGAGGAATAGGAGGCTTAAATCTTAGGTCCTTTACCGGAGGAGTAGCGAATGGAATGCCCAAAAAAGTGACAATTGGTTTTTGCAAAACCGTTGAGGCGTATCCACGCAGGGTACCATCCACCGTCTTCACGTAAACCGTGCGAATGTCTGTTGCCGCGAGACATTCTGAGAGAAAAAGTCCCAGATAGGCAAGGCAACCTAACGGGCGGAGCATTACGAAACCGTCCAGCATCCCAGCCTAGTCACGCATCTTCTGCTCAAAAGCCACTTCTCCAATCATCATAAAAGCACATAAGTTTTAACCAATTTTTTAAGGCAATGTATTTTAAATATGTTAAAAAATTAGGTTAATGAACATATTTTCAAAAAGCTCCTCATTTATGTCGGTTGTTTATGTTTATTCCCACTAGTGGCGATTCCTTCGGATGACCGAGGATGGTGAGTTTGTGTTTAATCGGTATTGTTTAATTTCCCCTAGAGACCCATTTGTTTACGTGGTCATGAGCGTGCCATAACACGTATTATTTACAACAAAGAAGGTGACCTAATTTTTACTGCTGGAAAGAATCCATCGCCCAATGTTTGGTTCAGTCGAAATGGAGAGCGCTTGGGAACATTTAATGGTCATGCGGGTGTAGTTTGGTGTCTAGACGTTGACTGGACGTCAACTCATTTAATTTCTGGCTCTGGTGATGCCACTGTGAGATTGTGGGACGTTTCCAATGGTATGTTATCTAGAGTTCATATTCCCTTTAGGCAAGGAGCTCAACCGCATTTCTAGGCCGTCCTCTGTCAGGGCTTGTGGTTTTTCCTACTCAGGGCACTTGTTCTTTTTTGTTGCTGATGTTTTTAAGCAAAATCCGGCTGAAGTTTGTGTGCTGGATACCCGAGATCGTAGCCACGTACGATGTCATTTCTTTTGTAAATTAAAAAAAATTAGATGACAGGAGACAATTGCGTCCTTTCACTCACCGGCAGTTGTCTCAAAAGTTCCATAAAGGCGGCGATTTGGGGTGATTTGGAGGACTTTATCATAACGGGCTCGGATAACGGTGATCTTAACATGATCGATATGCGACAAAAGGAGTCCGTGAAGTCCGTTAAAGCTCATAGTGGTTTAATCACGGATTTGCAAGTTCATGTAGATGGTACTATGTTTATTAGTGCCTCGAAGGATCACACAGCTAAGGTATGTGTGATCCCTGGAATGACTTTCCTTGCAATATCAAATTGAGGATACTTTCCTGATCTTTATAGCTCCACGGTATCTACGAGCTGGATTGCATCCGCACCTACACGGCTGAGCGTCCCGTGAATTCAGCATCCATCTCTCCTAATCGACCTCATGTTAGTTTTCTCTCAACGAAAGTTGAAATCTTCTTTCCATTTTAATATTGGAGTTTGATTTGTGAGATCGCCTTTAAATGTCGTCAGTACCTTCGTACCGCTACTCGAGCTCATCACTAACCTCGCAAGTAATTCAAGCGTTACTATCTGAGTCCCTTCTTACTCACTACTGGGTGTTTTTTAAATTTTGCAGAACCACCCGCACTTTTTGGCTTGAAGATCACCTAAAGTGCTTCTAGTTCGCATTCATTTGAATGGTCACTTTAAAATTTGCGAATTTCCTAGGACATCTTGTACCGAGTTTTAGGTTTTGTGGTGCATTTGTATTACTGGAAAAGATCCCTTTCAAATGACCTTGAATTTCTTTTCTTGAGACTTAAATCCTTTTTCATTTCATCCTAATTTTCTGAGTCTGATGAATTCATCCGGTATAGATTTCACGCTTCCCGCTCTGATCTGAGATTATATGGGATAACAAAGTACTTCTAATTTGATCGTTTTTGTCTCACTTCAGACTTTTGTTGCAATTAATCATAATAAGGTTTGTGAGAAGTCGATAATGTCTTTGGTTTAGCCCTCAAGTAGCTGGAAATCTGCAGATGCCCTAAATTAAAGGCAGCTCAAGCATGCACACAGAGGATGCATATGTTCTGAAAGTCCCGAACCGTGTGGAGCTAATCTTTAATCCCTTTCAATTCGCCTAGGATTTTTTATATCCTCTAAGCATGTGTGAAGTAGGTTTGAAGTCGAAATCTAGGCGATATGAAATCCTGTCTTCTCCACAAACCCAGGTTCTGTTGGGAGGTGGTCAGGAGGCTCGAGATGTCACTGTTACAGCCGCTCAGACGGGTAAATTTGATGCCCGATTCTACCATATGGTCTATGCGGAGGAGTTCGGTCGTGTCAAAGGTCACTTCGGCCCAATCAACAGCGTCGCCTTCAATCCCGATGGCAGTGGGTGGGTATAAAATTATAACTGCCTGTGTAGCTATACTTGGATGTTATTTTGCCCAGCATGCCAGTTCTGTTTTGACATTGTATTCTTTCTTGGATAGTTTCGCAACCGGAGGTGAAGACGGTTACGTGCGACTTCATGTCTTCGATCCTGACTATGAAGATGTTGAACAACGACTGTTCAGTATACCCACGAGTGCCATTCAAGCCGCGTAATTTGTGAAATAAATGAGATTTTGGCCTCTTGTTACTGCTTAATGTCGCCGGAACTCCGTGTTGGGAGCACCCAGCTGTCCTTGCGACTTTCTAAGAAACTGGAATTGTTTGAAAAGTGGAGTCGGAGCCTTAATGTGAATCGAACTCCGTGGACGGATTGTGACATAGTTGAAAGCCCTGCATCTATACCGAACTAATGGACTCCGGCTTTACAACGTAGATTTCCCAGATAGACTGGCTTATGAGCCCTCATGTCCCCGGTGCTGTTCTGGCGAACCTAGACGAGTCTAAAGACACTTGTTGTCTCTTAGGTGACTGGTCGACGCTCTTAGAAACCATTAACTCTGCTTTCTTCCTAACTTCCCTTCCTCTGAAAGAAGAAACGCTGGCTAGAGAGTTCTATTCTCACGAAGAGGTTGCCTCCCAAACTTGCGGAATGCTTAACAGCTATCCTCGTTAGTTCGTGACGCAAAAGGAGTGTTAAAATCGAGCTGGAGATTTCAATTTTGCAATTGTTGCCGTGACAGCAGAGGACAAAGTAGAGGGCAGTGGGTATACTTCATATGGAGACAAACGTTGTCACGGGAGCAGTGCGCACAACGCAATTACGTGCACTCGTACCTTCGAGACGATGCAGCACGCCGAACGTCAGAACCGACGGAAACCGGATTCACCAGGATAGCTCAAACCGGCACGCAGCGCAGGGGGTCTGTTCTCCTAGCCCTGCATTGCGGTCTCAGCTTGACTCGAACACTGCTAACGAACAACCAGCACAACTCGACACCGGCATTCCCGGGTTCATTAGGCTAGCATTCAATAGTTCACTCGATATTAGATAAGGTCGAAGACACGGCTTGGACAAGGAACCCATCCCACTGGCAACCAAGAAAGACCGTAACAAATAAAAAGCTTTTGAAGGGTTCCAAAAAATGCAAAGTCAGGTTCATTGCTTCCCGTTACGCTTAAGGGATTCCAGGTTAGCGAAATTTCGATTGATTTTGGGTCTTTTTAGAGGAGGCGGGGATGAGACAGACGGAGAGGAGGAGAAACTGAGTGGTCGCTTACCATGTTCATTGCATTTAGTTGCCTCTTCTGGGGCTGCTGCTGACTTTTTTGGGGATGGTGTTACACCACTAGTGGGCCAATTAGGATTGCTGATGATGATTAAGTTGTCAAGATCGTTATGCTGACGCTTATCTCTGTTCTGACCGGTGGATGGAGGCTCCAGTTCTCGCCTTAGCCGCTGAGTGGCCGACGAAGTGACTGGTTGCTGGTGTTTCAAGTTGTGATTCGTTGGTGATGGTACTCGTTGTATTTGGTCTACCTTGTGATTGGACACTGGTAGACTTGAGACTTTGGTGCGATTTCGGCAGGGCAAAGGTATAATGTAGTCATAATAGGCCCTGATAAGAGAGTTGGTGTCAGAATGGATTGTAGATAACTAGAGGTTGGAAAAGAAACGCGTTAATCACCATTGTTGCACCTTCATAAAAACGTGATATCTATCAAAAAACTAGTTTTTGCTATGGGGATGAACAGTGCGACACAGAATGGTGGATAAGTCTGTCCACAACGGGGAGCACACCGAGGAGGATGCTCAAGACAGAGCAGGGGGACAGATGGATGTCATCAACCTACTGCCGTTATGAGCATCCTACACACTAATTGTGTGTAAGATTTAAAAAGCATGAAAAGTAGAGCGCTTTCAGCCGAAACAGCAAGGTCGTCCACATCCAATTAAACATATATCAGTACCTTCCATAATTTACCACATCAAATTTACTCACAGGTTAGTCTACCACAGAGAAGGTATTCATGAAGTACTTATTTTTCACGCATCTACATGTAAATGAATAATGTTATGCAAGGGGAATCATGAAGTCTCCTGCAGTTTTTACAAATAAACCTTTTTAAAAAAGTGCTAAAGCAAAGACTTTCAGATGTTTGAAGAGAAGCCTGAGCTTACCAAACGATCAAACCCTCTTCGGTGAAAAATTGCTATGAGTTGCCGACGGGAGAACAGTCCAGGTTGAGTTAAATCTACTACAGAGCCATCTTCTGGAATAAATTCGTAGAATCCACTCGTAATCCTCGAAGAGCCACCGTTCATCGTGCCAACTCACTGAATTATAAGCGAAAAAAATGGAATCCCGCCGAAATAACCGGTGACCACATTAGACATCCAATATTCACCATTGACATAAGGCATAATATGTGCCCTGAAACACAAACGCCACTTAAAAACAATTGTTTTGCTTCTGAGTACGTATAATATACCAAGTTATGTCGAAAACACCTGCGCTCTAGCAATATCGCTGTACCATCAAAGATAAAATCCGGAATCAGCATTTTCAAGGTCATTCGATGGTGAGTAAATGTGAAATGCGGCAATTTATTTTAGTAACTACTTTATTCTCTTTACATTAGAAGCAGCTAGGTGTTTAAAAAAAGGAACTACAAGCTCGTTAACAAAGCCTTTGGGAAGCAGGTTTAATGAATTGGTCTGAAAACCTGCCTTTATATACCTCAAAACGGTGTGACACTCTTTTGTCTTTACCTTCTTCTGCCTCCAATTTCAGACCTATGGATTTAGAAAACTAACTAACAGAGCAAATTTTGCATTGTGCAGCGGGTGGGATTAGTGAATAACCTTGGCTTATTTTGTGGACCAGTGTTCGTCTCCTCCTTCGGAATACCAGACCCCTGCTCAACCGGGAGGTTTGTGTCACGAATGCCTGTCCTCCAAACTTGTATAGTGACTTGCCAAGCTATCCAGCAGTGTCATCGAAAGTTACACTAGTATAGAGGAAAGTCTTGCCAACATCACAGGCACACTGATAGGTCATTGCCTATCTGGCTGCCCCAAATTGAACAACATTTTAAACATTGCAATATGTTATTGCTGAATACTATATTATTTATGCGCACTATAAAAAGTTTAATAAAGTCTGGGATCAGAAGAGTTAGCAGCTTCTGGACGGGAATGTATTAACAGGGGATAACTGTTTGGATTTTTTGGCAGACAATCAAGCGTTTAATGCCGTGGAAGTAGAGCACGTGCTGCAGTTAACAAAACTAGTTTATTTTAATTGCATGATCTGCAAAGAATCTACTTATAAAAATATTCATGACGGGTACGCTATTAGACCTAGTGTGAGAGTGTTAACAGAGTAAACACACTAAAGAAATAAGTGAGACCTAGGTAAAAGGAATCACTAGACTGCGTATTAGGAAATGTTAAGAAAAGCATCTATTTGTTATGCAAAACTTCAAAGGCCTTAGAATTGTCGAGATATGTCAGCACCGGTGGGCTAGAGCGTCTTTCTGGGCGATAACGATACCAGTACATGAAAATTCTATTTTGCCAACATTTTTAGGTCACAAACAACTTAGCAATAAGTAACACGAAAGCGTGATCAAGGAGACAATGCACAAAAGGATGTAGGATGTAGTGTATTATCATGGCAAATGTTGAGTTGGCCACAACGATAGCTCAGTCTCTGCTCGTTATTCTAACGCTCTGCGCTACTTATTCTCAGTCGCACTTTTCTGTGCAGAAGTAAAAAATGGTTTTCTAGACTACTTTAACATATGCCTGCTGCACCGAAATTTTGCAACTCAGAATAACGCATCAGACAAGGCGAGATATTCGTAGATACTAGATTTATTTGCAATGTATTAAATTGTACTTTTACAACGGTCATCATAGCAAAAAATTTGACCCTGCCAAACCTAAGAGAACAGAAAAATCTTTGGATAGAAAGGACAGATTATCATATAACGCGTTTACTTCAAAAACACTTTTGGCTGACCAACGTGCCTAGAATAGGAATGAATATAAATATTTTATATAGAGCACTTTAAAACATACTCTTAAGCTTGTGGGACACATTTGTATTTTCAAAAGATATTAAACGGTAAAAAAATTACTTTCTTACGGCAAAAAGCCTCAGAGTGAAAAGATTGCTTAAAATTGTAAACAAATTTCTCAATTGCAAATTTCTCTCGTTAAGCAAATTTTCAAAGTGGAATTCGTCACAGATCTCTGTTTGTTTTACCCGGCCACTTTTTGACTTCCGTTGGCTTACGGAGCATGGTATGTCTCGTGTGGTTCTTAATGCTGTTGTAGCCAGCCGTCCGGGCAGGGAAGTAATGCGCTTTTTTCATCCCTCTTTCAGCTCGCACGTGATTTACTTCACCCAACTCTCGCGGAGGAGAAGAGGAAATGCAAGTTGAAGCGTTTGGTGCCTTCACCAAATTCATACTTCATGGATGTCAAATGTGCGGACTGTATGAAGATTCAGGTGGTCTTTAGCCACGCGCAAACCCCCGTAGTTTGTCCTGGCTGTGACAGAATCCTCTGCACTCCCACTGGCGGCAAGGCCAAACTCACTTTTGGTAGGTTTTTCGCTTTCATTCCGTTTCTTTGATCTGCATCTTCTTGTGTATTTTAGGCTGCAAATTCAGGATAAAGAATCGCTAGACTAGGCGATGCCTTGCTGTACAGACGAATCGACACCAAATGTACTGTAGCCTTGAATAAACTTTGAGTCCCTGTGGATTTAGGTTGTTTTTGATTCGACTAATTCGTCGTTTACTTCAGCGTATTTGACTTTAAAACGGTTTTTTTTCTTTGCCATTTTCATCGAAGCTGACTTTTCGACTGCTGGTGCACTCTCAGGAAATGTCCGAGTTCTTTGGTGCTGTTAATGCATGCGGTGTTTTCAAGTGCTTGACGCTTGTTACGTACACCTTAGGTGAGTGATTCGTATCTGGCTAGTTGCAGCGGATTCTGGCGTTCGTGGGGAAGCATTGGCTCTCCCCTCTGAAACCGCTTGCCGGTTGGGCTGCACTCTGATCTGCTCCGCTGTTTGTAAAGTTGGTCCTCGGACTGCCATGCGTTGATTTTTACTTTGATGCAATTTAGCTGTCTTCACTCGTCTATACGGTCCCATCTTGCTCCCATTGTAAGAAGAACTGGTGATATTTCTTTGATCCGGCTTTTGACGCAGCTGCTGGGTTGTACTCCCCTTGGGTCTGCCCTCGACGAACGTCGGGTTGGTCCTCGCGGAATCGCTTGGGGTGTGTTGCGGGAGTTCCACGCCACGTGGGTGCGTGCGCTTCTGTTTACAGGGTGGTGTGCAAAACTGCCACTCATCTGCGCAAGTTTCCAGGCTTCTATGTGTGATTTTTAAGTGAATTCAGGTTTGTATAGTATCTCGTGAAGCCGTTTATAGTGTTCAAACTGATAATAGGTGGGGTCTCTTTGGTCGGTGTGTTTCAGTGGGCCTCTTGGAGGTGCTCGTACTGTCCGGGAATCTTAACGGTGTGAGCAGAGACTGGGGTCTTCGGTTACGGGGCGGCGGTTTCGATTTCACGGGGTCCGCCCGCTGCTGTTGCTTCGTGCTCTAACTCTAGGAAGTAGAACTCCATGGCCGCGGTCTGTGCTGGCTCCCGAGTCGTTCGTGCTCCTCTGTTTGGGCCCTTGCGGCGTGTTGGGTTTATTACTGTGCTCGTGTCGCATGGATCTGCTGATGTCGTATTCCTCAGCAGCATGCTAAAGTGCGTTTTCGTGGTGTCACTTTTAATCCGCCCCTGAGCCACTACACCGGGGACGCGATTTGTCCGCAACGGATTGTACGTGGGCATTGCGCTGCTGGATTGTTTACGTTAAGTTAGAGTTCCTCAAATTTTGGGGTGTGTGTCGGTGCAATTGTGCTTGGGGATGTAACGGGAATCAATGCAAAAATGGGCTTAGCAGAAATGGTATTGTGTAATGGCTTGCAATGAATGAACTTGTTTGCTTGTTCCGAATTGTATGTATTAGGTCGAGAGAGTATGGGAAGGGGCGGGATTTACCTGTTCTAGGAATATGCAATTTACGATTACCATGAAATTGTCCAAAGCTGCGTGCTATGACTATAACTGACTTTAATGAAATTAAGGTGGTCTGCTTTCAGACATTCTAGGCCATAATTTTACGGGGAGATCGGTTGCACATTATTACGGACTATGATATTGCTAGCCTATTGACATCAAAAAGGCAAACAAGTTAAAAATTAGAGCCCAAATTTTTTAAGATTTCTAAATGTAGAGGTTGAATTTACAAAAATTTTAAGTTTATATATATCGTGCGATAGTTTAAATGAGTCAAGTTCTCTTGTGAAATTGTGCCGCGTGCTCCATATGTCATTCCCCCTATGCGATGACTTTACATGTGCTGTGGCTTGGGGCACTCTTTGTCCACTTCGCCACGTCAGGTAACTAAAATTGTTCTTCTTCCTTTCTTGCTAGCATTCATAAGTGAAGTTTATCTGGGTCAAGAGCCTCCATTCCCTGTCGAGTTAGGCGGTCGCATCCGCTTTCGAATATCGCCCAGAAGCGGTAACGCCTACGATGATAGCGGTGGTTTTAGCATCTTCCTTGACAGCAAAGTCATTGGGTCTTGGAGCCCTGAATGTCGATCCTATCTGGACAATCTGGATTCTCTTGTCTCTTGTGAAGTCGCGGAGGGTCCTCTTCTCCACTTCTTTTTCACTCCAAAACGGGAGAATTTCGGTCAACACATCCTTATGATCTTTTACCCTAATTCTGGTGCTAGTTTTGCACAGTCTGGTCAGATTCTGCTAAATACTACTGTCCAGGTTTGTTTTATTTTCTTTTACCTAGTTTCTATTTTTGTAATTCTTAACTATATGTAGAGTTTATTTTCCCTCGGCTTCCGAAAGTAAGGCAGACCGCTCTGTTATTTGACTTAGCTTTTACTTCAAGTTTGCAAGACTTTGAAATATTAGGCGCAGCGGATGATTTTACATATATTTACAGAAATGTGCCCTTTTTTAGCTAACAAAATATTGTCTTAAGTGCTTTCAATTTGTCGTTGGGGAAGGAATTGTTTTAAAACTTTAAATTTGTTCTTGTAATAGCTCACATATGTACTATTCTCATGGATAGCTTTAATTTCTTTTGCAAAATGGAAGTAGTCATAGGTAAACTGACTGGCTGGCTTTCATATCTGTTTTCCAGGGAATCTGTTTAAGTTTCATTTTAAGTGCGCTGTTTTGTGGAAAATCACACACATTTGTTTAATTGCGCAGCCTACAATAATAGGTCATTTTTCATATAGAATTTGATATGCATTTGTCTTTGCTTGTGTGCTATGCGCGTGTTCTGCACAAAGCAGTCCATTTTTTAATGGGACAAACGGATTGTTCTCCTCATCAAAATCCCCTATTAAGCTGCTAAATTTCTTAATTTTCCAGGGTTTTATTTGCTTTAGCTGTCCACCATTAATGCCTGTATGAAATGGCGTGTGAAATTCGAATCCCTTCATTTCTTTCCTGAACCGCGTACATGTATACTATATACATCACTTAAAATATCCACGATAGCGTACATATTGGTTGGTAAAAAAATAATTTGCTCGTGTGTTAGTTATAATCTTACGCACTGGTACTCTACACTACAAAGTTCAGACATTTATTGGCCGTGTCTAAGCTTTATTCATCTCCTTCTGTCGGGTAAATCAGCTAGCTCTGATTTTTATTTGGCTTTTGCGTCTTCAGGCGTTTTTATCCACTTTTAAGCAACTGTGTTGGCTTGTTAAAAGGCTGGTCACCCTGGAGTAAATATTAAGGAAGGGCTTTCTAGCACTTACTGGGTACTGTGGACAGAGGGGTTATTTACGGAAGCTCAAAGTAATCTCCGTCAACATTTGCTCGAGTGCATTGTCATTTATGTGGAGATGAACTTCGCTATTTCGAGAGTTGCATTGGTTCACCAAATGCAGTGCGGTCCAAACATCCATCCATGCTAGGAACGAAAAAATAATCCTAAAAGAGATTCCTGGGAAGCGAAGGATAGCTATATAAAACGCTTGGTATGCCTGTCTAATGCCCATATTACCTGGTTCGTGATGTGTAGGTGTCGAATATGCACGATTATGGAATTGACAGATAAAGAAGTTGGGGTTTTTTACGAAGGGTTCACCGGTGGAGGTTGAAAAAAACGAGGTGCAAAAGCAACTCATCCCGATACGTCTTAGGATAGATTTTGTCTTCGTAAGGCAACAAAGGTACTTTGCGCGAATCTTTTGAATGTCTTTTATATCACATCAAGTTTACTTCTTGTAAGTAATCCTGCTTTTTTCTTTTCCACTCTTTGAATCGAAAGGGTTTAATTTTGACCGTTAATTGGTTCCCTCTATCAGGAAGGGGTTCATTTAACACGGTCTAGTCATAATTGAAAGCAAAATTTTTATTTTAAGAATCGCTGTTTAAGCCAAAATTATAGTCCAGAATTGTAAAAGTAGTCAAAATTAGAATTAAAGTACTCTTTTTCTGTTGAAAATTCAGGAGAAACGATTAGACAATTTGAATCGCTGCTTTCAACGTAATTCCTCCGTTGAATTGTTGAAAGAGATTTCAAGTGAAATGCGATGTTAGTTAAGATGGCAAGCGGAAGTGGTAGTTTGTGCGTGCATATGGTGACAAAAAAATAAAAATTAAAAATCCTCGGGTACTCGTATCTAGGTCCGATGGCAGGTCATCCGGCCATTAGCAGTAAGACATTTGAATAGCGAAGGCGCCTAAGAGGCTACTGCACATTTATCTGTCTGGGTTTGGTGGTTTCGTTCCCAGGCCAAAGCCCCGATAGTCTTGAAGAGTCGATGCGTAACCTACCGGACTGGAATCGACTATGAGGTCGATCTTTCCGTGGCAACAGTGACCAAAATCATCCACAAAGGTTTGGGATTTTGATGAGGGCATACTCTGCGTATGAAGACGGTGAAGCAGGTGGCCCTAGGATAGTCCAGCCATACTGGTAAACATTCCCTGTTGAATCTGCTTTCCAGGTATTGGGTGACTTTTGGGTACTTGAATAAGCGTACGAACGGGACACTACGTCGAACAATGATTTTACTACCCGTAAATATATGTTCTCATTTGTCTTACCTCCAGGGGCTGCCGTTTCATTAACAAAGCCATATGATTCCAAATGGATTGAGCACTTCATTCTTCGTGTTTTTTTCCAGCTAACCAAACAACCGACCTTTCTGAACATAACAATCACTCTGGAACGCGAGCCCGACTATGTACGCCTTGCTCCTGGTGAACTAAATCTCTCCCCGCCTACCTTTCTCGACGGTTCCATGGCTAAGGTGGAATGCAAAACAGATGGTGCGTTACCACCCCAGGCCATTTCCTTCAGGATCGTTTGCAACAAACCACCACGGGCAGCTGTTGAACAAGAGCGCCAGGCGAAGGCCCAACTCGGCTACCCCTACGAAATCAGCTATAGTTTTTACCACTTCCGTTCTCCGCCGACTGATGAGGAACTGGCTGAGAGTATGGCTATTGGTTATGCACAGGGGATTCTGGATGAAGCGAGAATTGCACGGAGTCAGGACAATCTGACACTTTCAGCGTCTTTGCCAATCAATTCGAAGGCGCATGGTTGCAGTCTCTATTGTCGGCTGATGAGCAAGGAGGAGCAGATCCAGCTGACTGTCTACTGTGAGTCGTGACTTCGGACTTTCTCAAGCGTCTCCTTTGGCTCTTCGTTACCAGACCTAGACCTAGATTCGTTATAGAATCTTGGTAGAAGTAGATATTTTACGATTTGGATAAGTGATAAGTACACACATGTTGCAGTATTCATTAAAGTTGTTTTCGCAAGACATTAAAATAGGCACGCGTTTTTTTAAAGTAAAGTGCGGCTTAGTTACGAACACTTAAATTCGTTTCATTGAATAAAACCGAGAGAAATATGTGCCCAAAAATGTGTTGCTGTCGCTTTGAATGTTTGAATCGTGTCCGTCTTAGTGGAACTCAAACACTTCACTACACCAATCTCTCTCCATCTGTCAAAGAACGTAGGAGGCATTCGATCACCCTAGTCCATACATTTTATTGTTTTGTTGCAACACTAACCGTTAGAGTACCGTGGTGACTAATTCCTCTGCCGCTTGTCTACCTTATGGCTTTGAACTCAACAGGTCTGTCTGCGATGCACAATTTGGTGCCACCAGGTCTGATGAACTGATGGAGAACACAGCGTGTAATATAATGCCGGGGTCGGATTGGAATGTCGGCGTGTCTCCATGTGTGTGACGGTGGTAATAAACGTGTTGAAAACATCCGGCCATCATGATTTCGAGTCAAATCTATCGCTGAGAAGTTGGTTTTATTAGCCAAAAGCCGGAAAAGGACAAAGCCAGCTAAAATTTACATTTGTAGGGAATTTCCTTTACAGGGAGTAGTGACAAGTGCCAAACCGTGAAGGGGGGAAGTCATAAATCATTTGCCATTTCAGCAGTGGATGTCGTGCTTTTTCTGATCTGAAGGAGGTTCACAGGTTATTCGTAATTCTTAAAGGAATATTCCGAATTAAATTGAGACCAGTAGATCTAGCTGTAGCTGTTCTGGGCAAACCTGACCCACACCCAGAAGTTGGTTGACCTTCCTACCATTCTACAATGGATGTTCCTGTTCTTTTATGTTCATGGCGTGATAGAATGCTTCCGGTCGCGTTAGATGAAATTTGAAGTTGAGAAAGGCTAGCTGAGGTTTCATGAACACTTTGGCAACCCGCCTGTTCATTTACCAGCCACCACTTTGGCCCTAGCTCAGGTGGGACACGTAGCTAAATAGTTTACCTTCGTTCATTTTTTCATGCAGTTGTGTATTCTCTCGAATTCATTCACCCATCCACACCTCCCACCTCTTCGCTCAACCTTCCAATCGCCAATCTTAGCTCTGTTGGCTTAAAGTAACCTTGTGACAATCAGACTACTGAACGGAGATTTTGACGGCTCAAGTGACTTAGAGGTCAAGGTAAGCTTGATAAAGTGAGATTATTCTAGCCACCTAGCTAACTCGAGCAGGAGACTGGGAAGTTTAGCTGAAGGATATTTCAGAATCGGCTTGTTTGTTTTCCATGAAAAATAATGCTTGTAAACTTACCTCACGACTACCTCCTGTGAGGGTTCTTAAAACAAGGCGTGGTATTATCATGATAGAGGAGGGTATATCCATCAAAATTTGTTCGCCTTCTCCGCACCTTAACAGAGAGCGGTGTGATTGTCCTCATCTCTGTTTGTTTGGGGTGTTTGAATCTAGTAGCGTATTTGCTATGGAGAGTTGGACGAAGTACGGGCTGACGGGTGGGTACATCGACTTGGGATGGTGGGGGTTCGTGCCGTCATCCACCTACAACTGACGTGGGCGCCACGTAACGCAGCACAATGCGACAGTAGTGAAATGAAAAGACGGTGTCTAATTAAAACGAAATTCTACAGTCTGTGCGCTGCCCTTCTTCTCATTACCATTCTGTTCTATCAATTTATGGTCTGGTTGTAGTGGTAACTCACTTATGCAAATGGATTCCTTCCTTTTATGTCGCCGCGTTTGCGACCAACAATGTGTTGAGCCGTTCCTTTAGACTTTTGTCTCCCTGTTCTTTTATTAAAGGAGGAAAAATGTTAAGGGTGCTGTGCATTTGGCTTTATTTTGTCATCTTGACCCTCGCCTTCCACAAGGAGGTGTTGAGGAAGAAGAGCTGAAAGGTTAGTCATATCCTTTTGTTGGATTGCTCCTGCCTCTGCCCTTGCCTTTTCAAACCTCGACCTCGGTACTTTACATGGTCACTCTTCTGTGACAACGCAGTCGGTGCTTCAAAGACCACCCACGAGAGTCGTCAAATTTTTATGGAGACATGTAATCCTAATGTGAATGATGCACCTCGTGGGGTGTTACTGGATTAAGCGTTACGTCCTCTCTGTAAACTATTATGAGGCCATGTCCTCAGGGCGTGGTGATTGTGGCCTGCGAAGAATGAAGGGGCTGTTCTTCTGGTCTAGCAGAAAGAAGCCCTCAAGTTCCATTAAATCAAAATTTGTGTTTTCTTTCAGATCAAACAACTGTCGCGTACATCCTACCTCCACCAACAGACGGTCTAATGCGTGTCGGCAGTTCCATGACTTGCCATGCCGATGGATTTCCCGAGCCGACAATTACTCTCTCCCTTCGTCAGCCCATGCGTCAGTATCATCGTCGACCGATAATTGATCTAAAGGACTATCAGGTCACCACCAGTCCTGTTCCCCCCGTGGAACAGTTTGTGGACACCTCGGATATCGCGGCAGCCGCCAGAATCGGTCTTCGACCAGACGAATACACGATAAGGGGACCCAGGTTCACTTTAGCATATAATGCAACTCCAGGCGTGGAATTGTTGCTTGTATGCACAGCGGGCAATGCTTTGCCGAACGCGTTGGACTTTTTGGGATATAACAAAACCATTGCGATGACGCGATTCACTGTAGCCGGTAATTTCCTTGCGGTTTTATGGGCTTGACCGAGATTGCATAAATGTTGTGCTTGGTTCTTAACACCTTTTACACCTGGAAGTGCTGCCTATTAGTGGAAGTTTATTCATAGATGTGTTAAGCCAGAAGTAACTTACATCGATGTTGCACCTTATTTCGCCTGTGTCGACTCTCGCAACGCCTTTTCAGTTGGAATTTTTAGCTCCGCATGCAATGCTCCGCTTTCTTGCCCTTTTTACTCCGTTGTGATGAAAATTGCGTCTTAAGGAGTCATTTGTAGTTCAGGACGCTGAAATAGAAGTGTTTGGCATGGGAAAAGTTAAGGCGGTTTAACCCCCTTCGAAGTTGAAGCCTCTAAGGCACGTTGCGATGAAGCCCTCTACAGGATGAAGTCTAAACACTTGCAGGATGTATTCAAGCTTCATGGCTCAGTTTGAATGGAGGCGTCCATCGCCTTTTTCCTCCCACTATGGAGACGTCTCCGCTGTCTTAGTCCCTCTGCTCTGCCGAGGTCTGTCTGTTTGAGTTGTATGATGAGGATTGGTTACAATCTCTTATCCATTTCATCCACCTTCGTTCATTAACTTGGCGGGAAATTGTAGTGTTCTTTGATTCTCCAACGAATTGTTGGCTAAAATGTGATGAATTTGGTAACGTTTACTGGATCAATTAATCGAAATTAAAGATCATTCAATGTCTTCCAATCTTTTCCTTTCAGGCGATCATAAATCAGTTGGTAAGCTCTACAGCAAAATCCCTTCAGCTACCTTGCCTTCTCTCCACCGCCCCATCCTCTCCCTTTCCCCCGTCCCCACCTGCCAACTTTTCAATTTGTTTAATCACCGTACTTTCAAATTATCCAGCCGCAGGATTTGTTTTATTTTTACTTGATTCACCTTCGCCGTTTTTTTGCACTTGAAAGACTGTCTTCATTTCCTTAGTAATTTTATAACCTCGGGATCAGCTAAGAGGCTGCTCTTACAGCCTTGGTATGAATCCAATTGAGAGTGCTGGCTACCTCCAGTGGACTTTGGAATTTCACCGTTAAATAGGTGAAAGTAGTTTCCAGATGTATCGTTTTCGCTTCGGTGAAGCCTTTAAGGTTTCAATGTTTGGAATGACTTCAATTGCGAAATTTGATATGAAGGTTCATGTGCAGAATCCCACTCTTTCGAAATAACTGTTGCCTTCCGAATTCTCTGAGAGTGTTAGCTCCTAGTTCTTATCTAGTCTAGAATGTCTTCAAATGTCCCGGGAATTCATTTCAAATAAACAGCCTCAAGCTGCAATGTCTTCACATTTTCAAAACACCACCTTGAAGTTGACGCTTGTAGACCGTTAAAATAGGCTGGAACTTCTGAATCGGCTTGAAACTGGTCTTTATCGGGTCCAAACTTTTTGGAGTACTCCTGTCCAAATCCTCATCAATTCTGGAGCGATGATTGCATTGGTGTGCATCAGAAAGTATGCCTTCAAGTGGTATAGCCGACCCTCGCGCCCCTTTGCGGCTACGATACCCTCGTATCGGATGGACAATTAAGGTTCTAGTTTAGTTCAACCTTGAACTGGGTCTCACTTTACTGTGAGACACGTGAAAGTCATTGGAGAATGGGAAACTATTCTCCTTGGGCACTGACTTTGACTTCCTCTTGGTGCAACGGTCTCAGAGCTTTGATCAACTGTTTGCAGTTAATGTCCATGGAAAATTGAAACAGATCCACCTCTTTTTCATAGCTGTGGATCATCCACACCCAAACTAGAGACCACATATCTGAAGGGTTGGATCTCTGTCGAACTAGGATTACAGTGGGAACCTATCTCTGATCTAGTTTTACTCACTAGAGAACACCCAAAACTTTTTGAGTTGCATCGTGAATAGCCGTCGAAGTTGACATCGGTAGAGGCAGAAAGTAAGTTTGAGCCAAAATTTAAGTAGAAATCTTCATCAACGCGTTATTTACTTAAACTCAGAATTGTCTAAAAGTTCTGGAATAACTTTCCCTTCCTGGAATGTATCCAGGCCCTCAATACCTCCTGGAGTTTTGCCATACTTCAACCATAGATTTAAACCCCATTTTATTTTCTATCTGGCAAACATCTCAACACTCCTTTCCAACACCTCATGGGAAAAGCGACCGCAATGGTCTGCATGTCATTGGTATTGCTTTAAACCCAACCTGTCGTCTATTTGTGATATGATTTGGTGCCACTAATTGTCATAGGGCGGTGGAGAGCTCACGGCATTACGTGTGACGTTGGTAGCAGACGTGTTGCCTGACCATTCAATTCTCCCCCTCCTACCTTTTCCAGCCATCTCCTACAGCAGCATTGGAATTGTCATTGGGATCTGCATGGCAATCCTCCTCTGCGCCATCATCATAATCCTCCTCATGGTGTACCTTCGGCGGAAGCAGAAGTACGCCTCTAACGCCATCCAGACTCGGAATTCGGTGGCCAATCCAGATGGTGCAAATGGCACAAAAGTTGGTGGTGTTTCTGGACATGGAAAGTGAGTTTCTTTGTTTCTTATGACTGAGGCAATGTGTGGCTGCGAAAGTGATTCATTGGGTGGGTGTTGTGCAGTAATCGGATGCACACCTCGTTCATCAGCGCGTCCAACGCGCCGCTACCTCCCACGAAGTGATCCAAAGTCTTTTGTTGAGGTATCTTTTTTTCTTATCTGACTGGTCAGTTAGCTGTTTAATCACTTATTCATCGAACCATCAATTTATTGGGCCATCTCTGATTTCGTCCGGCTTCCGATCCACCAATCAAGCTAGTCTCCCATCTTTGATTCCTCCTATCCATCCATCCCGTCCGCTTTTCAATCACCCATCCTCTCATCCGTACTTGGTCTACCTACCATTGCGTCTATCCCCTTTGCCTTCATCTGATTCCTCCATCTACTCCTATCCACCCATGTATGGGTCCTGGCTCTATTTTTTAATTACTTCTTCCTTTTTTACTCCTGTAAATTTCCTCAGCCATACATTACTGTTGTATCAGCTTCTCTTTTCTCCATCTGTTTATTCTTCCACCCATTCAGTCGATCTTGTTTAGTTCGTTAATTTTGGCCTGGGATCGTTTTCAACCTACCCTTCCCTCCACCTGCGCCTCGTCTAATTTACTCCTCCAATCGTCGGTTCATTACCCATCTGTTAATTTTATGACCAGTTCAAGTTGTAGCTACCGAATCTTGCTTCTACAGCCAATCAAGGGAGAAATGCAACCACCTCACTCACCCACGCACCTGCGACGATTTTAGAAGGCAACTCCAAAATTGCCTCTATTTATGGGCCGGGTGCGTGCATGCACGCGTTTGTGTCACCTTGCACGCCTGCCTGACTAACTCGCGGGAGAGATAGCTAGCTAGGGCTTGAGCAAGCGTTTTACACTACCTCCGCTCTGTCTTGTCCCTCGCCTCGCCCCCTACTTTCCCCTTAGTCGGATTCACCAGCTAACCCACTTGTCCACAACTGACACCCCCCGCCCCAGCTACTTCTACGCGGCCAATCAGAAGGTCCTGCCCTTCTCAATCCCTTTTAGCTCCGAGTAGCAGGCGAGGCCGGGATAGACTGAGCCGGTCGATAGGCTGCGTTGAAGTGGCGATCCGTATTTTTAGTTCCAGCGCAATTGTCACCGCAAATGGACAAGTAAATAGAAATG